ATTTTTATTGTTGCATTTTTGATTGCTTGTTGTATCAATATTGTGCAATATTATGATTATAGTAACTGCTATTATTATCTTTAGTTTTTACTCTCAGCTGTTATCCAATTAGAAGCATTATTCGTATTTTTATCACGTTATAATTACTCGTGAAATTAATTATTGTTATACTTTTGTTACTTAATAAAGCCAATACACTTAGTGAAGGAAAATAATTTGAATTCATTGCATTCATATTAATATATTGTAATTATTGTTGTTATAGCTCTCAGTGTTCTTATTGTAGCAGTTACTGACTGATAACGTTGGTAGGAATTGAAGCTATACCAATATGCCACTTAATCTGACCCTCAATGCGATTAAAAATGACCCAGCAACCGGACACAGGCGCGCTAGTTTGAAGCCCACAGCTGTGTTTGATATTAACGTGAAGTCAGCCTTATAGAGAGCAATGTAAAGATAACTTATCATCAATAAGTTATATCCTGGATCTGTCCTTGAGTTATTTTGACAACACAAAAACAATTAGACGCCAACGGTGAAAATAGCGCCCCGTGTTCTGTGGCTAGCGGAGTTTAGCGGTAATGGCTGTTTGAGCTTGTTTAAAAGATTGACGTTTGTTATTTTCGCTGTGGGATATTTTTGTGGCTTCGTTTAGCTGGTTGTTTGGGTTTGGGCTCGTAAGTGTTTGAATAAGAAAAATAAGTTGCGACATATTATGTTTATTCCAGGGAATGTTCGGGTGTTTATTTAGCTGAATAGTACAAAGTGGCGCAGTTCCTCACGTGGCTCACCCGTGCACGCGTTTACTTGACTGCATGCATGCTTGGGGAGTGCTGCTCCAACTCCACAGAAATATGCATTCACACACGCAAGCAAATGCGCAAACGCAGGTATACACACAATCGCGTATCAGACACACGCGCATGAATATGTAGACGTATATGTATATATATATATATATAGATAGATAGATAGATAGATAGATAGATAGATAGATACACACATACACACATACACACATACACACATACACATATACATATATACATATACATATACATATACATATACATATATAAATATATATATACATAAACATATACATATACATATACATATACATATATATATATATATATATATATATATATATATATATATATATATATATATATATATATATGTATATATATGTATGTATATATACAGACAGACACACACACACACACACACACACACACACACACACACACACACACACACACACACACACACACACACACACACACACACACACACACACACACACACGCACACACACACACGCACATATATATGTATGTATGTATATATATATTTATATATGTATATATATATATATATATATATATTTATATGTATGTATATATATATTTATATATGTATATATATATATATATTTATATGTATGTATATATATATTTATATATGTATATATATATATATATATATATATATATGTATATATATATTTATGTATGTATATATATATGATATTCCCAATTGTAGTCCTTATTACCCAGTCCCCAGGCCAGCCCCGCCAGCGCCCGGGCAGCCTCGGCCTCGGCCTCACTGGCGGAGCCGCACGAGATATGGCGAGGGCGGCAATTCGCATGGCATTGTAGTGTATTATTTATTTTACGTATTTACTACATTGCCGCCCAAGCAGGGGTGTCAGAGGAGGCGACGCGCACTTATGATGAGGAATGTTGTCAGGCCAGACAGCCAGGTCAAAGGTCACGTGAGGAAGATGATCTTGAGAGCGCTGAGACGCCGAAAGAGAGAGGCTCGTTTCTGCAGGAGGCTCACGGGGAAGGGGAGCCTCTCGGGACAGGATGGGCTGGAGAGGGGGAAGTGATATGTTTGCACAATAGACAGCATAGGTATACACACATATACAAACATATGATATATATATATATGTATATGTATATATATATATATATATATATATATATATATATATATATATATAAGATATGTATATATATATGAATTATATATGTATACATATGTACATATCTATATCATATATATATATATATATATATATATATATATATATATATATATATATATATATATATATATATATATGTATATGTATCTATATATCTGTATATGTATATGTATATTTCATATTTATATATATGTGTATATGTAATATATATGTATATATACACATGTATATTTATATATATATGCTTGCACAATAGACAGCATACGTATACACACATATACAAATATATATATATATATATATATATATATATATATATATATATATATATATATATATATATATATATATATATATATATATATATATATATATATATAAATATATATATATATATATATATATATATATATATATATATATATATATATATATATATATATATATATATAATTATTATTTGTATATGCATATAAAATTATATATATATATATATAT